TAAGGAATAGAGGGTGAGTAAAGCAAATCAAAAGGCAAAGAAAAGGAATAAAGCCTCAAATCTCTAGACATTATTTTTAGGGCCCCCCCTAAATAATGTCAGAAAGCTGCTTGCTGGACTATCCCCTTTGCTTGAATGATTTTTTGTTTTTCAATACTTTTGAATAAGGGATTTTATTAAGAAAGTGCGCACTGACTTTTGGAAACTTTTGGAAAGCTTCAACACTAAAGAGCTTAGGAAAAGTTAATAAGGAATAGAGGGTGAGTAAAGCAAATCAAAAGGGAAAAAGTAGACTATAACAATAAAAAATATTCCACTACAACTACCCCTCCCAAAAAAGAGACATTATTCTAGGGGCCTTTATAAATCAGTGCAGGGAAAAAAAAGACATAATTCTAGGGGTCTTTATAAATCTGAGGGCCACATTAGACATCTGACAGTCGGCTTTAGGCTTTGGGTTCAATTTCCAGATGCTTGGCACACCCTCGCATTGCAAGGACATCGATTGCCAGCATTTCGGGTACATGTGGCACCCTTGATGAGTATCCTGGAGTGCCAGGGACCTAAGGCGCGCGAAATCATTTCCAGGAGCATTGTTGGAAGATAGTTTTCTCTATCGCCAGGCCTTGTTCAATAGCGTTCTGACATATGACTCATGACTCCTGACATGTAATAAATGGCATGTGGCACCAGGAAATGAAGACTGGAACCGTCGACCTTCAAGGATTTCCATCTTCATATATGTTAGGGATTTTTGGGCAAGAGTGTGCGTGTTTTTACAGTCCGCTCTTTCTAGGTGTATGCATACATTGAAGGGGTTTGGGGCTGGCTTGATGTGCTCGGTTGTTTGTTTCCCATTTGAAGACTATTATTAGTCCCTCCACCGTGGAGGCCCGTTTGCTCGCGGGCTCGCTCTCTTTGTCCCTGTTCTGCCACTGGATGCAGCTCAAAACAGGAGCATGTGTGCGTGAGTGTCCCTGACAAATTGTATATGCACCCATTTTGCTTGGTGTCACCTCGAGTCTGTTCACCTCATGTGAGTAGCTAGCCGCTAGCCGCTACCGGCCGCCTTGTGTGTGACCAGCCTGCGTTTGCCTTGCCTGGGCCAGGAATCGCGGTTCATACCAAAGAAGTATACTGCTGCCCCAAGTCAGTGATGACGAAAGGGATTCCTTTCACTTGCTGCTGCCATTTCGGCATTCCTTTCCCCTTATTGCCTGAGGGGCAGTTTGCGTTTGTGCGGCCCGGGATTTCTTGAACACTTATACTGAGGACATAACATCCCCACAGCGAGCTTGAGCCCGATGAACCCCCCTGAGTAGGTATGTAATATCTTGGGAGGGTGGTGGCAGTGATGTGACAGCCAACAACATTCAGGGGCCTCCTGCACCAGCTGCCCCACACCTACTTCGAGCCTAGCAGCGCTTCAGCAGGCAAAGTCCGCTGCTCGAGAATATATCTATATATACACTTAATTTGATGATGGAAGTTTTGTTTTGTTTTCTCAAGGGCTTCCCCCACGATGCTGAACCCATTTGTTGGATCGAGCATGCCGCTGCATGGCCTGGAATTCTTCGCGAATTCTTCGCATTTTCACAGCCGGCTGAGGGCTGATGAAGCTACTGTAATTCTTTCACAGTAAAGCAGCATAGACACTGGTCTAGCTCTGTGCCTGGAGGGCAGACGAAGCGACTGGGTCAGTGATACAACTCCGGGCTGGAGTTCCCGTAGTGCAGGGAGGCACCAAGCTGCAGCCAAAGCGTGGAGGCAGCTTAGAGCGTTGTTTCCTGGGTCTGTTCGATCCTTCGATCCCAGACCTCCTCCAACAGTGGTGACTTGGTTTCCCCTGTCGCTGGCACATCCTGATCACTGCGAGGAGCAAAAAAATGAGAATTCGAACGGAATAGGAATCGCCAACGGACGGAATTGTAGACAGAGAGACACGGTACCAATCGCCCTTTGGACACCTTGCCTGGAGAAATTCGAAAAGCTTCGGTCTACTCGGCAGGGGCTTCCTACATGCAATCTTTGTGCTGCTGCAGAACGTTAGCCGTCAGAATCATTGCTGATTATAACATTGTTGAAGCCTTTTCTGCTGTAGATATAAATCAAACATAAGCCTCAGATAGCATAGGGGCCAAACAAAGCACCTAATAGTGTTTGGTGATCTTTGCCTATCACGAGACTCTAGAACAGCTTTCGTGAGGTCCAGTCCAAAGATATGCCGAGTCTAGCTTCTCAGCACATTCAAGCCAACAGCTTCAAGACCATGTCTGACCGATGGCCGGATCGTGATCCCTATGCGGGCGTCCCGACCTCGAGATCAGGCTATGACCCCTATGAGCTTCGACCGTACGAGAGGTACGAGAGGTACGAGCCCCGAGCAGACCCTTACGGACTCTATGATCCGTATGAGCGTGACCGTTACGAGCGTGACCGTTATGAGCGTGACCGCTACGAGCGTGACCGCTACGAGCGTGACCGTTACGACCCCTATGCGCGGCATTACCCTCCACCGGGCCCTCCCGGACCGCCGGGGCCTTCTGGGCCGCCACCTGGGCCGCCGCCTGGACCTGGTGCATATGGCGGTGGCTACTACCCACCACCACCACCACCACACTATGGCTATGGCCATCCACCGCCGCATTATCCACATGGATATCCGCCACCAGGCAGGTGACTTCATTTGGCATTCTTCATGCGATGTCAACAGATATGTGGTCTTTGCAAAAACCCCGTGCCGCCCTGTGCCGCGTCCAGGTTACCCACCGCCTCCGCACTACTACGGACACTATCCACCACCCCACTATCCGCCCTTGGAGTCCGAGCCATCTCGGCGGCCATCTCGAGCACGCCAGAGGACCCGTCTGACTTCGCCTGAGAGTTGCTTTGTCCCTTTCGTCGGGTTCCAAATCGACCGGATTCGTTGCAAGGAGTCGGACGCCCGAGAGGCGTGGGAAAGGTGGGGGCAAGCGGGCCAAGGAGCCGAAGGAGTCGAAGGAGTGCGGAAAAAACCTCGCGTCAGACATCATGCCGCATGCATATTGAGATGGTCTATACCAGTCTAAGTCGAAGGCTCTTGAGCACGCGGGCTTTGTCAGATCTTTTCGGTTCGATAATTTCGACTTCAACACCAGGAGCCCCCACGGAAGCGTAAGAAGGAAAAGGTGGAGGAGGAGGTGAATGGCGCTGATATCAATCTGACCCTCGGGGAGGTGCGGCCACTCATGAGTTCAATTACTGTAGGCATGAAGTGGAATGAATGTCACTTATGGTTCAAACTGTTTCCTGTATTTCCTGGGTGTCATGCGTCCAACTCTGCATTTGCAGCCGTCGGTTCGGTTGATGCAAGTTAGGACTCCTTTCCTTGACCTGATTCCTGCATATTCCTGCAGGTTTTTCCCAGATTGGTGAAGGCCGCGCAGGCTGGGGGCTTCACATGGAGAGCATGAGGTGGATTTTGGTCATGGGGTGTTGTCCTGGACAACAGGCCAGCTGGACGTCTCAAGCGAGGGGTAAAGCAGGTATGGAGCTTGACTTACTGCTCTGCAGTGAGAATGGCTGAAACGAAGACGCTCCGCATAGCCCACATTGGGTTTACCCCTTCAGAAATCCACCAGAGACATACTTGAATCATCCAAGAAGAGAGTTTGCGTTGTGAATTTTGATGGCGGTTCTTGGGCTTTTGAGCCAACCTGGACGGCAAA